CTTCCACCTGCATTGACCTCAATAGTAAGAATCTTTGGTTTTTTTTAAGAGTGTCTTTCTGGGGCTGTCCTTTCAGACCAGTAAAAAGACAAGGCTATGCAACATTATTCTGATTATTCTCCAGCTGACTACCATCTGCTTTTCAGTTAATGAGCTCCCTGTCCTCCTAATTCCTCTCTGAATTTTTCCCTACTTCATGCCAGTAAGTATAAAATAATGGATTACACATTTTTTACATTCTGAATTGGAATTTAAAGATGAAATAATTTGCAATAAAATGTTCTCTCCAAAGACAATACAGGAAAATTCCCTTGCTAATTTAAAATTTGCTTAAATGAACTTTATGATGTAGAGACATAAAACAACAAGTTTGAAATGTGAGACAGTGGGTATTGTAGAACTTGTGAGGGAACCTTCTAAAAAGCATTCATGTGTCTATCTGATGTTATTTAGTGCCCCACAGCACACTAAACTCAGTTCACCCGTTCAGAAAGTGAACAAGCTACCCTGTCTTCTCTAGTGATACCTCACCCTTCCACTGCACTACGTCTTAAGTGAATATGTATCCTTTTTGGAACTAAATCAAAAGAAAAGGAATTCAACAGTTTCCATATGGCACTAAGTTTGACCCTGAAGCTCCACATCAAATTTTTACTATTACACCTTTGTGAATTTTGCCTTGGATTTCAACAGCAACAAAATAGTTACTTCCTGCTAGTGAGTGCCAAATACAAAGCTTATGTAGTAGCATCTTTATGTACATGAAAACTGCTGATTGTTACTGCATTTCATAGTAAAATACAGTGATGTGCAAATAAGTGTTTTGATGAGATCTGAAAATGAATCAACATTCCTGGCATCAGATCTCTACTACATCTACTTTTTTTCTGCAGCTCTTGTGTCCTGCCTTCAGGCAGAAAAACACTGTCCCTACCTAAGGAACCTGCTCAGGGAAAGCTACCAAAGAGAAAATACACATATGAAAGAATGCACTGAACATATTGCCTCTGTGACCAGAATTTAACACAATTAATTTGACAAATTTGGTCTCTTTTGCTGTCATGAATGACACCTCTTTTTCTGTTCTACTCTCACTAGAACGAAGTACAGACCCAGATTTTCAAAGTGTTTAATGCTTTTTCACTCCCTAAGTAATGACACTTGAAGCTGACAAAATACTAGAACTGAATCTTTCTGAATTGACCAAAGGTTCAATGCTTTTACCAATAGTTTGGGGAAATACTGAATGCAAAGCACTGGAAAATTTCAGTTTTCAATTGCCAGGATTTCACAGGGGCTGTATTGAAGCATAGACTTGGGATGCTTTTAACTCTATTGGAAGAACTGTGTGTTCTTAAAGAGCTGTAACAGAGTTGTTCTTAGAAAAACTCTCTCCTCCTCAAGGATGGAAGGAATTATAAATTGCAACAATAGGATTGAAGCAGAAAAGTAAGGTGAGGTATTAGAAAGACACCTCTGAGGAGATCTCAAATTAATATATGGCTACATTGTGCGTTCTGTGACCTGCTCCTGCAAACAAATGTACAATATACATGCAGCCATCCATGCTGCAGGAAGAAAAAACATTAAGCATAAACACTCGTGTGTATCTGACTCAAGGCTAATTCATGCAACTGTTCTGAACAGAAAATAAGCCAAGATTTAAACACCTATTAAAGATGAATCTCTTTGTCTGGTAAGGACACAGAGGGTCTGGAATTCTAACGCTGACAGGACTGATAAATTAACAGTAATGCTTATTGATGAAAGTTTGCCAGAGAGCAGCAAAAGTCACTTGTAGATCCACTGTCTGTGTTGTTTCCAGACATAAAAGGGCAGATACCACCAGAGAAGTTAAAAACTCTCTGAGAGCAGTCCCAGTAGGGACTGCACGTTCAGGCTGGCTGCAGAGTATAAATGGGCTCAGCACGAGCTGCTTTGCAGCTGATGCCCCACAATGTGTGTTAAGAATCTGGCAAGAAAACACTTCTAGTCTACGTATTAGGAAACTCCTCTACAAGTTTTAATAAAATTATTGTTAGAAACTTAGACAGAAATCTTTCAGGACTCAAAAATCTTTGTGTCAGAACTACATTGTCGAGCAATATGGCTTTACTGACAACGTGTTGAGACTCAAGATTCTGTGTTGATTGTGCTCTGCAAATAAATAGATCAGTTCCTACATGCAAATGAAAATCAGGTTGCCTTGGTGGCCTGACAGTCACCCATCTCTAACTCACCACAAAATCCCAAACCTGTGCTGCAAGAACAGACAGTTTAGTTGGATCATCAAATGGATGATGCAGTGTCAAATTCTACCACCCTGGCAAACAGCTGGAGCTCATTCTGTAAACAGTTTGGTATGTAGCAGCAGAAATGTTGAGACAAGGTCGTAGTAGCTGTTACTCCGCTAATTACAACACAGTAAATAGTTACTGGAGTCAGGACTGCAGAGAGGTTGGATTGGATGGGGAGGAACTGCCTGTGGAAGAGCAGGACATCTCTGCAGAATGAGGATCAAGAACTCAATACCAGCCCTGAGAGACACATACTCTGAGCATGCTCACCTCCTGCTTGTTCCATTCCTGGCAGGAAGTACCAGCTACTGCTTAGTGCTCAGGAGGACAAATTGCACACTGACTAAAATTTCCAACTGTCTGTTAAAGACTTTGCAATGATCAGCTTGTATGACTGTAAAAAATGCTATTTGTGACAACAGAAATTTTAAAAAAGTAACATAAAATTTCCCTGTGTACTGTTGATCTTTGTATCACATTTTTTCTTAAAAGAAGATAAACTCTACTATGACACTATGACAAATGCTATTCCAAAAATAATTTTTATATATCTTAGGAACCTTCTCTGAACGTCCAAATTGCTCTTTTACTTCAAATGCTATATACAACCTGCCACCCACGTTTTAGGACCAAGCAGTATGTGGCAATTGACATTTATCCCAGAAGCAGAGCTCCTCTACAGCTGCATGCATTCTTTGGAAGATAACACTGAGGACAGTAGTGGGATTTTGACAGAGAGGTTTTTCAAATTAGTAAGGACCAAAAGAACCTCTCATCTCTGGTCACGGCTTAGAATCACACCCCAAACTGTGGTATCCTGAAGCCAAATTCAGACTAGAAGCTGCCTCTGAAAAGCAACATGATTATTCCTTCTTGTTCTAAGATCATCACTGGTACTACAAGTTCTAGTGGCCATCAGAAGAGACTAAATGAGCTGAACAAAAATAAAGTCCTAGTAGCTCTCTGGCCTGGGCAGGTTATCTGCATAAAAACCTTGAAGCTTCTGTCATGCCATCTTCAATCAGATAAGCAGTAGATTTCACTGGTAAAACTAGGGTGTATGAAAAAGGTCACTTTATTTAAAAAAAACCAAAACAAATTAACAAATTCTTATTTTTAAAATGGCCAAATTAATTCATTTCCATTTCATTCTCTGTTTAACTAGCAGAAAAGAAAGGAAAAAAAATGTAAAGAAAGAGATTTCAGAGGCCATACTAATATATTTCTTTAAAATCAAATTCTCACATGTTCCATAAACAACTTTAGTGGATTATGGTGGATTAGCCTAGAAATATTGCCTAAAGTTGTAGTTTGTTAAGAAATCTTACCTCAGCAAAATGAATTAGAGAGACGAAATTGCCTGTAAATACCACATTTTAACTGTTTTTTAAAAATAATCTTTATATATTGTGGGAAGTTTTCACTCCCATTTCACTTTGCTTTAACACAAACATTCTCTAGTTTTTACACTAAGAATGGAATAATGCATGTGACTCAGATCTGCATGTCTGTATCTCAAGTTAGATTTTTACCATTCTGTTTGCCACTACAGTTTGCTGTTTTGTCTTGAAAAAAACTTTTGACAGAGAATATGTATTCCCAGAAAAAAACTGAAAAACTTGACCTCTTCCCATACATACATACATACATACATACATATATATATATGGTAATGGCCAGTCTCTTCGCGAACGAAGAACCGGGGAAGGTATTTCCACCTTCCAGCCTGCGCATTGGATTTTTTAGGTGAGACACAGTGTGCGCGGAACTGAGCCCACCCTTTAATCCTGAGGTTCATCTGCCGGGGCCAAGCACACTTGGACGGTGGCAGCGAGGTCCTCAGGACGTAGATGGATTGCCTTATGGGCTAACAAGCTCCATCTGCCCGGGGAGTGGCCCCGACCAGGAATCGCACCCGGGTCTCGGCGTTGACAGCGCCGCGGCTTAACCACTGCACCACCAGGGGCACTCATATATATATATATATATATATATATATCTGCAGAACTGTACAAATCTAGGTTCCCAGCAGGCTGATGCTTTGCTTTCTTATGCAAGTGATTGCTCACAACCCTGTCAAAGGCAGGACACAGCTACCCAGTAGCCTGTTTTTTCATTGTGGGTCTGATCTTCAGTGATGCTGAGCGCACATGGGCACACACTAGAGACCCTCACCTGCTTTGCCTGGAAACAGAAAGCAAAAGATTCTATTCCTTATCATGTTCATCAGCAGTGTTTAGCTGTTGGCTTCAGAGGTTGTGAAGTAGGACTTCCCAGTGCCATCAAAGACCTCCTCTGCACATTGTAGATTAGGTCCTGCAGTGACTAAGCTTGCAGGAGGTGAGCTGCTGGCAACAGACTGCTGTTATGTGGAAGTGGGGGCTGAACATGTCAGAGAGAGGGTCTGTCTTGTGGAATTCCTTTGCTCAGTGAATAAAACTTGGGCTGTATAAGAGTGCAAGTGTTTATTTATTACCACAGTACTTTTGCTGTGTGCCTGAGCAGCAAAGCTGCTTGTAACCACCTATTGAGAGGCTTTACCTGACTCAAACTAGCTACTGTTTTTTGAATTTATCCTAATAGTATTCTGATGCCAAAGCCACACTTGTTTGATCTGAAAGAAATAAAACTATCCAATGTAAAAAAATTTGTTTTCTCCTCCTGGAAACCTTTCTGAGACTGGCTGACTGTTACTATTTGAAGTCAGTTTCTAAACAAAGAAAACAAACACATAAGTGTATGCATAAAATTTACATTCACCATCCAGACAATTCCATGGCATGGAAAGGCTCGTTTCAGTGCAAAATTCTTTTTCACCTTCTACAGAATACCTCGGGTTGCTACAAAAGAGGCCCTGATTTTCTTGTTTCCTATTCTGGTAATTCAAAACATTTATCTGGTACAACTTATGGTTGACAAAAAACAGCTTAGTAAAAATAGTTGGTAAGACTTGCATCACACAGGAACTTTTTGGAGTTGTGAGAGTTCAGTTATAGAAACTGGGGCTCTGTGAGATGCTAACTCTATGCTTTAGCAACCAAAGACCTTTACCCTTAGAGTAGCTGCTTAGCATGCACATACCACATCTCCGATACCGAGTTAGTAGAGGCCAGTTAAGATTTTTATACACAGCATGGAAAATGCAATTTACTGTTAGACATAATAGCTGGGATTTGTGTTTCTGCATGTTAACTTCAGGCTCAGATTTTGAACAGTTAATCCTCATTACTTGCTTCGTATTTTCTTGATATGTATCCGTAAGCTGTGAACAAAAACATGTCAGTCAGGTCCCCTCTTTCCTCCCCCCAGCAAAGCATGGCTTTGAGATCTCTGAGTGGACTGTAACCATGCATCACTGATACAGAAACATCTGGCATTTTAGAAAAGGCACAAGAAAATGGCATTTTCAGAAGGGTAAGATCCTGATCTGCACACAACCCACAGAAGTCTATTCCCTAAGCAACTTTTGAGGTACTGAAATACATTTTAAAGGCCTGAGTCCACTGACATCTGCTTCTAGCCTGTGCAAGAACTGTGTAACGATCATGTTGTAATCTCCTTGTCAAGTATGCGTATGAAATGCAAAAGTGTTAAAAACATTCCAACCAGTGAAGAATTAAGCTAACACATCTATGTTGCATGTTATGGATGATGGATTAGCCTTTGAACAGTCCTCTGAGTCTATCTGGTTCCTAGGAGACTTTCAGAAGAGCCCACAGGGTCAGCACATTGATTTCTTGATTCAGAGGAAAATAAAATCCTACCAGGGAGAAGAAGGGGGACAAATCACTTCTACACTTCCTAACATCAGCCATCTACTGGAGTGCATGTTGACATCTCTCAATCCCTCCCAAAATGAAGTGACAGTACTTCAAAGATTCATTTACCCATAGAGCACCACATTCTTTCCCACAGACAGCCTGAGTCTGATTCAGCTCTTGATCTCAGCTGACAGCCACTGCCCTCCTGCCAGTGTGCCTACGGGCTTGGTACAATAGGCAGCAGTAAAACAGAAGGGAGAGAAAGGAAGAAAATAAAATTAAAATGTAATTTCTTTTTTTTTTCCCCAAAAAATGAAGAATGGAATTCTTTAACCTTTAAACATGCTTGTTTACTTACAGAAACAGTATTTCAGGCACAAAAGGTTTGAGTATCAGTCACATACCAGGTTAAATTGAAATAGTATCAGGATTGTCCCATGCAGTGCAGTCAGCTATATTATCCCCTATCAAGAAGTTGAAGTTGCAGTTTTTGTATACACACATATATATAGAGTATGCATCTTTCACACTATGCTCTCCTGGTCTGAGTTGATTCCGGTAGGGTTTATGTAACAACAGTATTTGTCATAAGGGCTGTTATCCTTGTAAGAACAGACAATTATACTGTCCTTAGGTGCCACAAAAATGTTGTCTTCAATGTCAGGGCAAGCAGTGCTGTCCCTGCTGGGAGAAGAGCTCTTCTTCTCCAAGGCACTGTACATGGAGCCGTCTCCCATGCACACACTCCCCGGTATCTGGGGGTAAGAGGCCTCCAGGTATTTCAGCATGTCCTCCTGTTCCGCTTTTTTGGTGAGGCTGTTGCACTCTCCCATGGTGGCAGCGGTGGTGGTGCAGACGAACACGGAATTCTCCTCACCCCGCAGCACTCTCCTGTCCTTCTGGTATGCTTTCTTGGCCAGTTCGTCACAACTCCCCTTGCCAGACTCCAGGTCTGAGGGGGTCCTTAGCAGCTCCATGACATCTCTGTCCTTCACTCGCTTACAGCACGGACGCATGTTCTCGGGCCATTTGGTGCAGCCGTCGGTCTTTCTGGTGAGGGCAATAGCGGCGATGCCCGGCAGACAGATGGCCGGCCCGATGGCCAGCAGCGGGATATCTCCCAGGGTCTCTCCCTTGATGCCGGACACGGTGAACATGAAGCCGAACACCAGGAAGACGCTGACCAGAGCCACCACCAGCCCCGTCCGGGGGTTGATGTCGTCGGGTCTCAGAGTCCGCGCCATCCTGCCGCTGTCCGCGGGGCCACCTTCCTCCGCCGGGGCGCCCCTCGGGGCAGGGCACAGATGCTCTGCGGCAAGCGACTCAAGTTTCCCAGACAGTGAAGCGCGGAGGACTACGACAGCCGGCACCGCTCGCCTTCCCGTCGGTGGAGCCGCAGACGGAGGGCGGGCCGGAGCCGGCAGCCGTCCTGCCTCCTCCCTCCCTCCCTCCCTCCCTCGCTCCCTGGAGCCGCCTTGAGCTACGCTGAGGCGGGAGGGTCGCTCACTCCTCCGGCAGCCCCGCCGCGCCCTCCCACGAGCGGTCTCGGGGGGTTCAAACCCCGACAAAGGGCGGTTTCAAGCAGCGGGCGGGCGAGGAGCGGGTGGCCGCGAGGGAACATCTGCCCTGCTCCTCCTTCCTCCTCCTTCTCTTTCTTCTCCTCCTCCTCCGGCCCCGCCGGAGCCCCGCAGCAGCCGTGAGTACACGCACGGCCCCCGAGTGCCGCGGGGTTGGTAGCGAGGTGTTCCCCCACCTGATGGCCACCGCTGCTCGGCCGGCCCTGCCGCCACTCCCGGCAACCTTTCCCTCCCGAGGGGACCCGCGACGGGCGTCCTTCCCCGGGGCGGTCGGCCTGCGCATCCTGAGTATGGATCCCCGCCCCGAAAGCCCCTGCCTCGGTGGGGACAGGGCTTGAGGACTAAATGATCCCCCAGGCAGACAGTAGTCCTGCCCCGAGTCCTTTCCTGAGTTAGGCACAAGTGGAGAGCAAGGCTTCAGGAGATGCTGTGCTGCAGCTGGATTCCACCCCGGAGGAGGCCTTTAGGGAAAAAGCCTCTCCCGCTGTTATTCCCTCCCCAGGACCCTAGGAGTGAACTTACATGTTAGGTTGCATCTCGCAGGGGTTTCCTCGGTTCCAAAGGCCGGCCGGCTGTGATTGTGATGTATCGTCCCTGTGTTTTGATGCAGTTGGGTGATGGCAATTCAAAGTAAGCACCTCGAGGTTGAATGAGTATAGGAAGGAATGTGGAAAGACAGCAGCATGATCAGGAAGGCTGCCAGTGAAATAAAGGAGTAAATAGTTTCCCCTGGTGAGAGGTACTGGGAGATGAAAAGGACTGATCATAGAAAAGGACACTGAATTAAATTGTGAAACCATGGGTTTCCCATTAATATGATTTCTTTTCTTCATACTAGAATTTGGAAAGCTCACAGAAGCCAATTCAGGAAACACACAAATGTTCCTCAACTTTAAGTCATGGAGCAACCTGGATCTTATTTACCCTCCCTACTGTACAACACAAACAGAGCACCTCTGGGTTGTAGGTTTCCAAACTGCCCAAGAATATCCTTTCATTATTGGGAACAACTCTTGCCTTATAGGACACTTTCTTCATAAACGGGATGTCATGTTATAGCCTTTGCTCTTTAATTTGAAGGATGAGTAAGTGGGAGTAGAAGTACACACTGGGGAGAGTTATTAAGTCAGTGGCAATGGCCTGTGTTTGAGCTTAAAAGTTTGTAATGGACCATGATCATTGTTTCAACTTGTACTCCAGAAAGTTATGCAGTAAAATCCACACTGAGCCTCCCACCTGTTGCTGGGTCTGAAGCAGGAATAATTTGGACTTTGTTAGAAATACTCTTCTTGACTGAAAGGCTTAAAAATCAAAACCTTTCAGTTACATTTCAGCACAAGTTAACTTCTACTTTTGCCACTGTGCAGGATTTAGTGTGAGAAATGACAGTAGTGTCTCAGCTCCTGTTTTCCAGAGTGAGAATTTGCTGCTTGTTTCCATCTGCTGTTATTCAAATACACAGCTTTTATGTCTTCACACTGGGATTAATAATGCCTTTTTTACCTGTCTGCTGAATTCTGTAGGAAAGCCAGTCTGTCCCACACAACTAAAATATTGTAAAGTGTAAGATATGAGCACAGTTGTGTTGATAACTAATGCCATGAAAGTCACCATTCCTTGACCTTCCTTCACCTCCCTTGGTGCATTTGAAGAGTCTTTCAAAAAATTGGAAATTGGTCTTTTGTTGAAAAACAAACACTGATGCTTGGAAATAACAATTACCTGAAATTGTATTCATCAACAGTCCTTCAGAGAAAGAAAAAGTGCATCACTATATGACACAGAAATGTAAATATTAGTGGCATTAATGGAGGGGAAAAATACCTTAAGAGCTGCAGTACATGTCAGAATATCTAAGAGGAATAAAAATGGCCCTTCAAATTAAAGTGACAGGCTTACTGAGATGGAAGAAGGAACATCTACTTTGAAACAGAAAGCTGTTAGTGGACAGAAGAATACAGAAAATGTCAGGACAAAGGTGGAACTAAATGTCTTCAATTTGTTCCTTTGTGAGTGGTTTCAAGACAAGATTGTATGCTTCCTGAGGGAGGGCATAGGAAAGGTAAAACAAACACCCTGTTCCAGGAAAGCATGCTACAGTTGGTAAAATTGTTTTTCAAATCTAGAAATCAAGAGATCAGCAAGTATCACTTAACATATAACTGAGCAACAATGCAAATGGTTGAATTTTCTATCCTGTTAATAACTGGATTAAAAAAAAACCACAAAAACAACTTCCTTTGAGGTGAATCGTGTTTCTCTTCTGGTGCTGTACACAAAAATTAGGTACTCAGCAACTTTTTTGCCTCAGTCTGCCATGGCAACCTCTTTTCCCACACCTCTCAAGTGGATGTACAGCAAGATGCGGACTGGGAGATAAAAGTGCTTCACAGTGTAATAGATGAGCTTTATGATCACCTGAGGAACCTGAACATACCAGTTTATGGGATCCAATGAGATGCTGTGCTGATTTTGACTGGTTTTCTTCACAGTGTCTAGTATGGGGCTTTGTTTTGGATCTATGCTGAACATAGGGATGACAATATACCTTTTGTTATTGCTGGGCAGGGCTTACACAGACCCAAGGCCTTTTCTGCTTTTCCTACTGCCATGTTGGTGAGGAAGTTGGGGGTGTATGGGAGACGGGGAGGAGACACAGCCAGGAGAGGTGACCCCAACTGACCAAAGGGATATTCCAGACCACATGAAATTATCCTGAGTATATAAAGTGAGGGAAAGAAGGAGGAGGGGAAGGGCATTTGGAATGATAATGTCTGTCTTCCCAAGTCCCCCTTATGTGTGATGGGGTCCTGCTCTCCCGGAGGTGTCTGGAACACCTGCCTGCCTATGGAAAGCAGTGAATGAATTCCTCATTTTGTTTTGCTTGTGTGCCTCACTCTTGCTTTCCCTATCAAACTGTTTTTATCTTAACCCACAAGTTTTCTGACTTTTACCCTTCTGATTCTCTCCCCAGTACCAATGGTGAGGGAGTGAGTGAGCAGCTGCATGGGGCTTGCCTGCTTGCTGGGATTAAACCATGACAGATACATCCCAGACTCCCAAGGGAATTGGCTGACGTAGTTGCCTAGCCAGTCTCTCTGGTGTTTGAAAAGTCCTGGCAGTCAGACGAAGTCACAGGTATTTGGAAAAGGGGAAATATTGGACCTATCTTTAAAAAGGGTTGGAAAGAGGACCCTGGGAACTACTGACCTTTCATCCTTCATGGGTTGACATTTCCTATTAAAAGCTAAACAGAGTTGCAAAAGAAAAAATAGACCAAACTCACCCCTCTGCCTGGGAAGATCATAGAACAGATCCTCTTAGAAGCTCTGCTAAGGCACATGGAGGACAGGGAGGTGATTTGTGACATAAAGCCAGCATGGCTTCATCAAGGACAAGTCCTGTCTGACCAACCCGGGGGCCTTCTATAATGGAGTGACTGCATCAGTGGACAAGGGAAGGGCTAGGGATGTCATCTATTTAGACTTCTGTAAGGTGTTTGGCATGATCCCTCAGAACATCCTCCTCTCTGTATTGGAGAGAAAAGGATTTGACTGGTGGTCTGTTCAGTGAATAAGGAATTTTTTGGACAATCAAATCCAGAGGATGGTGGTCAACAGCTCAGTGTTCATATGGAGGCTGGTAATAGGTGGTGTTCCTCAGGGATCTGCACTGAGACAAGTACTCTCTAACTCACTCTCACTTATGGAGAACCATCAGCAGGTTTGCAGTCAACCTGCTTTGAGTGGTTTGAGTGGTGTAATTGATGTTCCTGAGGGCTGGGAAGCCATCCAGAGATGGACAAGCTTAAGAAGTGGGCCCATGGGGATCTTGTGGTTTAAAAAGACCAAGTGCAAGGTGCTGCACCTGGGTCAGAGCAATCCCCTGTATTAATACAGACTGGGGGATAAATAGAACAAGAGCAGCCCTACTGAGAAGGACTTATAGGTGCTGGTGGATGAGAGCTGGACCTGAGCCAGCCATGTGAGCTTGCAGCTCAGAAAGTCAATTCTATCCTGGGCTGTATCAGAAGCAGTGTGGCCAGCAGGGCAAGGGAGGGAATTCTGTCCCTCTACTCTACTCTGGTGAGACCCCACCTGCAGTGCTGCATCCAGCTCTGGGGTCCCCAGCACAGGAAGGAAATGGGTGTGTTGGAGGGAATCTAGAGTAGGGCACCAAGATGATTAGTGGAATGGAGCATCTCTCCTATGAGGAAAGGCTGACAGAATTGTTGAATCTCATGAGATTCCCATGGACCCACTTCTCCACCTTGTGCAGGTCCCTCTGGGTGGCATCCTGTCCTTCATATGTGTCAACTACTCCACTCAGCTTGGTGTCATCTGCAAATTTGCTGAGGGTGCACTCAATCCCTTTATCTCTATCATTAATGAAGATACTAAATAAGACTGGTCCAAAGTACAGGCCCCTGAGGGACACCTCTTGTCACTGATGTCCATCGGGACTCTGAGCCACTGACCACCACCCTCTGAATGGACCATCCAGGCAATTTCTTATCGGTCTAAAAGTCCACTCATCAAATCCATCTCTCTCCTACTTAGAGAGCAGGATGGGGGGGGGGGGGGGACCATGTCAAAGGCTTTACAGAAGTCCAGATAAATTACGTCTGTAGCCCTTCCCTTGTCCACTGATGTAGTCAATCAACTGATTCCCTTTTTCCAGTCACTGGGAATTTCTCCTGACTGCCATGGCTTTGCAAATATGATGGAGAGTGACTTATAAACTACACTAGCTAATCCCTGAGGACTCGGGATATTTCTCATTGGATCCCATAGACACGTATGTTCAGATTCCTCAGGTGATCATGAACGTGATCTCTTACTGTGGGAA